AATTAATATTAATTAATATGAAGAGTCAAAAGTAATCCATGTAAAAAAAAAAGAAAGAAATCTTTTTTTTTTATGTTAGAGAGTTATTTACTCGTCATTTTATTGCTTCTCTTCTATACGTTTTTACTTTCGGAAAGGTTTATTATAAGGAGGCTTTATTGAAAACGTTGTAAAAAGTGATTGATAGAAATCTAAATCATTCTTGAATAAGAAAGAAAGTAAACCCATTCTTGAGATTATTTGCTCGTCTTCAGCCATCCAGGAGTTATGGCCAAATGCAAGAAAGGATTAAAAAGCAGAAATTCTTGATCATGTTAATACTTTAGTACATATTTGTATTTGAATTTTTGATTTCATTTGATGTAGCATGATTCGTTTTATTTTGCTAACTTATTCTAACGGCGGGTTATCATATTATTATAGAATTTTATTCGAATTTTACAAGTTTAATTAAAATCACGTCGTAATATTTTTCGATAAGTAATCATATTCGTTCGTTCCATAAATTATTCTTCTATCTGCTTAGTCTCATATATTATAAGTAGATACATCTTTTACTTTTCTCTTCCTAATTAGACTATACTCACGCTGCTTCGTAACTCGGTTTTCTTGCCACCACCCTTTGCAATCTTTCAGTATTGGCATCACTATCAAAATATAAAATAAATTTAATCATTCGGATGAAAATGAAATTCGCTAATTTCTCTTACTGTGGGAAAGATTTCACGCCGAATAGATATTTAGAAATTTCCTTTATCTGGAATGGAAAAAAAAATCGGACTTTTTCGATTATATTTTAAAGAAAAATCAAAGAGAAATCAATGGAAATTACCATTAAGCAGCGCAACTTTATCCCGAGTGGCATTTTATATTGATTGTAGATCCGTGACCATCATTGTTATCCATTACGTCTATCGCCAATGACACATACATTCTGCACCGATGTCTGCGTTACTCAGTAACGTCATTTGATATCGGATAGCATCTTTCTGATGTACTAATGCCGTAGATGTTTTACGGATGATTGATTTCTGCCCATACCCGGCCAATCACTCCAGGTCTAGAGTACTGCGGGCCATTCTTTAGATGCCGACTGGTAATTTCTCCTCGAAAACCTGCTCATCCGCAGTGTTTATCAGTCTTTAATGATGATAACTTCGCCGAGTTGTCATTGCTACCTGCTCTTCCAAATTAAGAATTGATTTTTTTTTCCTTCTTCTTCTTCTTCTTCTTATTCTGCCGTCTGTAAGAAAATAACTTCTCGTTCCGTGTATGGATAAATTAAATATGAGGAGTTACAAATTGGCTCGGTTTCTAAATATAATGAAGAAAGCAACAAGTTAATTCTGTTAAAACCACACCCCTCTAAACAACCTGATGGATAGAAGGTTAGATAGTGACCTTGAGAAAGTGGAGAGTGAACCATGCAGCATGGGAACTAACAAATGAAAGTGTTTATATTTTCTATATACACAGGGCATATCCATGCGGTAACTATTTTGAATACAAAAGCGGCCAATATTAAAGATAAAATAAACGTTAGTAATTAATCTGCTGTTGGTTTTTTTTTTCGCCGAGAGAAAAAGATACAATATGTTTCCGGTGTGATTTAATCTACAAATTCGATTAAAATGTTTGTTTTTCTTTTAAATATTTTGTAGATGAAAACACAATTTCGCTTGACTTTTCCTTATTAATAAATCAACCAGGCAATTCAAACTGTTCTGCGTCACTGATTTATTAATAGGGAAAATCCTTAATATATCCAATTGTCGTTTATACATGCTTTATGCAACGTAATCCTCTAAAAATAAAATGTCGAAACATAAAAAAAAAGAAACCAAACAAAATAAAGAAGCGTTCTCGGCAGTAATCAAGGAAAAGGTATAGTAACAGATCTTTAATATCATTTTCGAGCTCGTATTATTAAGCTAATCGCCTATTAAATTATCTAAAAGCAGACTACGGGTCCTCCCCTCTCGGAGGCCATTTCCTCCAGATAGAGGTCACCCGCGCTGCTAGGTGGCGCCTTACATCTGTCACATTTCACGTCACTCACGTGATTACCGGTGACCAATGGGTGCTTCCGAAACATCGTTTGTTTAGCGACCGTGACTAGCGAACAATGGATGGGAGTCGTCCCAGGTGGGTAAAGTTTTGACCAGAAGATCTCCTCTACCTCCCCCCCGCTCGTTCGAGTGTCGTTCGCTTCCCATACTCGGACGTGATGACCGAACTTTGCCTAATGACGTATAATGACACAGTACGTCCCGACAGAGACAAAGAACAGTCCCGGGTACGACCTCAATCGAGAATTTTCATCATGATGCCAAGCCAAATGACTTTTGCGTGCAAATCGACGCCCCGCTCCTAAATTTGCGCTTATTCTACCTTTTTCTTTTTTGTCTGTCCACAAGGCTCCTTCCTTATTATTTAGAAATCAGTTTGAATATGAACGAATTTTCCGTATTTAAAGAATTTCTCTGTACTTTGTTACCTTTTATTCTATTTAAATAGTGTATTACCTATCTACTCCTGTCTTCGTCGTATACAGTACCTTTCTTCTAGCAATGAATTTTGCTTTGTTTAAATAAATAACAGAATAAAACAAGTTCTAGCTAAGTTCGAAAGTTGTTTTGTACTTTCCTTGTGAATATTCTTGCACTTTTTTAATTATAAATAGGTATTCAGTAACGTTACAGTTAATTTTAATAATTTTATATACTGTATATATATATAATATTCTTTAAGCAACCAGTAGCAATTGTTACAGTCGTCTAGCATTATTTAACTGTTGCATGCTGTTATTTTTGTATGGATTTTTTTTTCCTCTTAGGGAGTGGGCCGTGTGCCATTATGATCATTTGGCGATGATACTCATATAGAATAAAAGCTGTCCTGGTTCATAAATCTTCAATTCACTGCGATTAAACTTACAATTAAGAATTCTGCATCCGTTTCTGAGAATGTATCCTGGAAAGTATTGTTAAAGCATCAGTTTATACTTCCCCTCCCTTTAAATATAATAATGAAAAGCTTATATTTTTTTTATATGTAAAAAAAATCTAAGACGTTTATAAGAAGTTGCATCTTTAATTTTTCCATTAATTTATGTAACTTTTATTTTATTTTTTTACCATAAGTTTAGTTCATATTTTAGAGATTCTCTAATTAATTTGAATAATTATTAACGTATTATTCGAGAAATTATCAATTGAATTTTAAGGTGTAAGTATTTAAACGTGTAAAGTCACTTTTAAAATCCGTTTTAGAAGCGTAAATATTTAATTTACATCCCGAAATAAGACATATTTTATTCATTTAATAATAATGAAAGTTAAAATTATTCTATAAAATCCCTCTTCTATGAAAATTTCATAAAACTATAACTTATATTGAAAAGAAGCTAATTGTTAAAGGTTAATCAATTGTTTCTCTTGTAGAAAAACAAAGTACAAGCATAAAAAAAAAACCCTCATATTTCTCGTTTCACCACTGATTTACTCAATTAAATGGTATCTGGATATGCGGACAAGCGGACAACTCAATTATCTATAAGACTTTGATAACTGAAATCGATTCTAAGATCCGAATGTTTGTCGGTTAATAGCAAAAAAAAAAAAACCAAAAAATCCTCCTTAACAAACATTATTCTATATTTAACTTAGACTCTTGGGAGAAATATACTTCTTTTTTTTCCAGGAAAAATTTATTCAAACTTTTTATTTCATTAGAATATTTTTATATTAAAAATGAATAGGAGAGAGTTTATTTTTCAGAATTTACATACATTTTTAATGCTAAATTTTGAAAAAATAACAGTAATAATAATAATTTTGTGGTGAATGTATTCATTGAACGTGATTAATTAATTGTTTTTACAATGCTTTTTACAACAAAAAAAATGTGATTAATGCCATAATTGCCTATATATTTATATAAATTTATAGCGAGACGGAGGTAAAAAGTGATGTGGAACTCGAAAGGCATTTCCTGTTTACAAGTTTAATGATGTATTTCAACTTCTACTCATTGCCATCTTGGATATCTGTATCAAAAATCTATCAATTAAAATAGGAAAAAAAAAAAACTAGAGAGGGTGGACGTTATAGGCCTAGTGAATATGTAAAGCATTATATAAATTCACACATTTAATAATCTTTTCTTAGATTCACCTTAATATAATTTACTAGTAACAATAATAATAAATTATATACAAATTACACGTGTTTAATGGTGAAATATACTGTAATTTTATGTATATGCCTCTCACTTTAACTAATTTTCTTCTATTTATGATCAAATTATACGGTAAGAATGTATTAGTTCAGTGTATAAATATATATAGAACATCTCATCACGTCTATTCTTGATTCTAAATAGAATAAAAATAAGATAAAGTCTCTTGTCTAATGCTGAGATTCGGAATATCTGAACGTCTATATTTAGTTAACATAAAGTATTTATGGTGTTATATTAGTATTTTATATCGATCATGAGTTTTTCAATTGGTAAACGATACCTGCCGTTAATCTCTTATTACTATTCTGTGAATAATAATATAAAGTTTTATTGTTGTTGCTATCGTTAGCGTCATTTGAGAAGTAGAATAAATTGTTACCAAAGTACAAGAAATATATTGCGTGACGACTACTTTCTATTATCTAATGAAATTGTTTTAGTGCCAAGCTAATGATCGCAACTTCCGTAAGTTAGCTAATCAGTCTATGAATAGAATAAGAATGTGATATCTAACAAGTAATCTGTTAAAATGAACATATTCGTAATCAACTTTTCTTTCTGGATACTTGTATTTATTTATTACAAAAATAGAATAAATGGAATTAATCTAGGAAATGAAATGTGTATTTCTTGTATTGTTACCTATAATGATTATCATAATTAAAATTAAGCGAGTGGAATTTAAATTTATATAAGTTAAATTAAAATAGGATATTTGTGGCATTATCCCTTCTCATATTGATTTTTCTGGTTTGCAGGGGATGAATGTGAGCAAGAGAAACAAAGCTTGACGTCAACAGAAGTTGCACCTCAAATCGACGACTCGGAAGCGCGAACCGACACCTCGTCACCCAACACTCCACAGACGACAACAGAAGAGACTTGTCCAACTCAAGAGAAAGCAACTCTGGAATTAATGAACTATTCTCCAGTTAGTTCACTTTCTTTGGAGTCACCATCTCCCCCAATTACGTCGAAAATCCGTTCGGTCAAGGAAGATTCACCCGGTGATGTAGCGGTGAACCTTACAGATACGCCTCTCGATTTTAGCATCAAGAAAAATGCCTGTAAGCATAAGGAATCTCTCCAAAATGGTGTCATTATTACGGAAGATGGACCTCTGGATTTATCTATCCCCAGGAGGAGAAAGGAAACAGAACTCGGGGCAATTTCTGCTAAGATATCTAAACTGGAGCATCCACCCAAGAGTCCGTGGGGATATTGTGCACCCAGGACACTTACACCGCCTACTGGCTCGAGCAAAACACGCTCGGAAGAGTGGAACGGGCGTGTCAAAACTAGACAAGATTCCAAAGAGCATCATAAGAAGAATTGGTTAGATAAAAATGGCAAGGGGTTACTTGCAAAAAATGATTCTCATTCAAAATCATTTCGACAGAATCCGTGGCAATCACAATGGATCAGTCGGAGCAGCGATCAAACTAAAGACGTTTTTACGTGTGTATGGTGTAAAGAGTCTTTCAAAAGTTTATCCGAAATGACAATTCATATGAAACAATCGTCACGTTGCGGTGTTGCCGGAATGCAAACTCCACCTTCGACATCGCAAGCACCTCCCCCTAATACAGCACCTTCTACCGTAACCACAACTTCTTCGTCAGATTCTATAGTAAAAGAAACGGTATCATTACCCAGGAAATTAGTTCGTGGTCAGGATGTCTGGTTAGGTAAAGGGGCGGAGCAGACTCGTCAAATTCTTAAGTGCATGTGGTGTGGACAATCCTTCAAGTCATTGGCGGATATGACGACACACATGAGAGTGACACAACACTACACTAACATTATTAGCCAGGAGCAAATAATTTCTTGGAGGACTCCCGAAGACAAAATGGCATCTCAATCTCATGTAAATGCGGTTTTGACGTGCAAAGTATGTGATCAAGCCTTCGGTAGTCTAAAAGAACTAAGTTATCACATGGTAAAGAATTCGCATTATAAAGAGCATATTCTTCGTTCCATCACAGACGGTGGCGGGCGAAGGAGACAAAGTCGAGAAAGGAGGAAAAAATCTTTACCGGTTAGGAAACTCTTGGAGTTAGAAAGGCTAGAAATTTCACGTCAGAATCAAGGAAACACTTCGGGAAGCGAACTTGCACTTAAAAATGAAGTAGTAGATGGAAAAATAACTTGTGAAGAATGCACGGAACGTGTTGATGCCAAAGACTTTGTACAGCATATTAAGAGATGTGGTCAGGGTAGTGTGAAAACTCAACAAGATTCCGTAGCGGAGAATCAAGTGACAGAAACTTCGGACGGTCCTTCGGAATCGCCAAAGACTAACAGCCCTCCAATCGATGGTGCTACTTCGGAATCTCCGGGCATAGACGCTGCTGGTGGAGGGAAGTGTCAAGAAGAACCGAAGGAACAAAACGACAGCACCTCCGTGTTAAATGCAATAGAGAGACTAATAGAAAAGAGCTTTGAACCAAAAGGTAGGAGGGTGAGTGCTTCCACGGGTATTCTACAAAGATTGGGAATCGACGAAGAACTTTGCCCTCCTTGGCAACCCTCCATGTCCCCTAATGTATTTTACAAATCATCGGACGTAATTGCCAAATCTCCATCTGGTGGAAATTTGACACCAGCAACTAGTTACGAAGAGCAACCGTTATATTCGAACTTAAGTCCACGTTCTAGTTCTTCTAGTGGAGTAGATCAGGCGCCTGGTTCTTTCCGCGATATGTTGAGTCGAACTTCTTCGCCTGCACTCAACGCTTGCAACTCGGACACGGAAACCGAATGTATCGAGCAGCAGAACGTCGAAGCGAGTGGCGAACATTCCGTGGGGAGCACATCCGATATCCCGGTAATGGAGAGAAACGGCACAGATTCCCGAACCCCACCAATGGACGAAAATAGCCGGGTGAGTACTAGCAATAAAATGCCTTCCTCTTCTCCAAATGAGAACAAAGACGAAACGGAAAAACGGTCGAACATGTCGGTCGACCACCCTCTTAAAGAATTGCAGAAATTACTGGACAAGACAGACACCCATATGTCGAGATCCAACATACCACCCGCACCGCCGGGTTCCATATTAGCCTTTAGTTGGGCCTGTACCGAATCCAATAGCAATGATTCACTGTTGAAGTGTGCCTTTTGCGATACCCATTTCGTCTCCAAAGGAGCCTACAGGCATCATCTAAGTAAAACTCACTTTATCAAAGACAATAATACACCTGATCCGAATTGGACAGGTTCGAAATCTGAAGAAACAAACAACACGGTGCCAAAAGACTCTCCTTCGTCGGAAGAGAGTCCTCATTCCAAGTTTCTCAAATATACAGAACTTGCGAAGCAGCTATCTAGTAAATACGTTTAAAAAAATGTGAAAATTGAAGCAATGGTGCGTCTCCCCGAGAACCTAATTAGCAACTCACACGCACATCTGTATAGTCCTACGCACAGAAAGATATAATAATCCTAACTGATGGATAACTGTGCATAATACATATCAGTAGGCAGCGGTTGACTGTCTAGCATGTTTCAAAATTCCAAAATCTTTCGGTGATTACTTTTCCCGACATATCTCAGGCAATTTTTGTGGCGTCGAAGCAATTTTTTTTGTGTCTTTGTATGTGTATCAGTGTATATGTGTACGTGTACACAGTGACCATTCTGTACATATCTATGCATCGGAACTTCTCAGAAGTCTTCGATATATTTAAAAAATAAAAAAATAAAACAAAAAATATATTTCAAGCAGAACTTTTTCCATTTCCCGTTTCTTCTTCTATTTCCAAAGAGGAATTTTTCATCTGTGCATAAATTAAGATTTCGATGTGTCCAATGCTTTCCAAAGTGCTTCCATCTGCCATCTTGTACATAACGCCATTTAATGTTATATAAATGTACATCTTTATATTGTTATTATTTATTATTCACAAGATCTATAAGATATGGATCTTTCGTATAAAAGATTCATTAAAAAAGAATGCTGTTTTTTCTCCTCCCTGGTCTCCGAGTCTTTTTCTTAGTGTTACATATATACTTTCCGAGTCAAACGCGCCAATATAACTTAAATTTATCTCCAACTACACATTCGAGTGAACATTTCACTCGGTTAGAGAGAAAAGATTTCCAACATAAAACATTGTTTCTTCAAATCACGATCCGAAGGCCGTTCGAGATTGATTCTCTGACAAAAATTGCCCCTCGTTTCAAAACATGACGCCACGTACAAAAGTAACTTGATCGGGTAACTCTTTAAATGTTCAACAATGAATTCTCTACTTTTTAATTTTAAATAATATTACCGATCGATAGACAAATGCCTTTAATTGAACATGGCATCCCAACCAAATTCTTAGTGTCAAAGATTTTCCGACTTCGTTTATAATAATCTTAATCGTGGGCGTACTGTACAGCTAAATTATATCTCACGATTCGTGGCACAAAAATTCATTAGCTCAGTAAATCTATAACCCATGTTATCCTCATCATATCGCGCTAATTGGTTCAGTCTGATATTATTGCTGATATAATCTAATTAATCTTAAGAACGATCGAATTTTTTCTCCCCTTTCCTCCAATGATTAGATTATATCCTATCTTAATTATATAAAATAATTTTTTTAAATCAAAAATGACAAGAACCAATGAAAAATTTCGTCATCTCAATCATCGAAATGTTATTAGAAAATAGAAAAGGAAGAAATTCGTATCGACTGTTTGTACAAATTAAAATAACGATTAATAATAATATTTTTGAAAAGTTGTAATATTTGTAAATAAAATCAATTTGGGAATTGTTGGAGAAAATAATAAATTCGCAATAAAGCAGGATGTAAATCCGCGGAAGTTAAGAGTTAATATTTTGCTAGCCAGCAAAGTTAGCACTTGGGAGTGATTGAAGAGGGTAAAGCTGTTCCCTCATTGGTAGTAAACAACTAGATTCGAGCAGCTCATCAGAGCTAGCTATTCCCTGCTGGATCGTACTTCTCGCAAGCTTCCTAATTATCACCCGATCACTCTTTCTCCTATACTATGATGTAACCGGTAACCTTTCTTAATGTTACTAGATGAACAAATGTCGACAGTTAACTTTTTCTGATAAAAGATCTTGCCTTATTCCAAGCCAGATACTTAACCGACATTTAGATCAGTTAATGCATCGGCAAAATAAATATAGTTAAAGTTTCATCGATAGGTTTAACATTTCTCAGAATTCATTAACTCGGATAATCACTTGATGGATAGATGAAAATTAAACGTACAGTTTATAAAGGTTAAAATTATAAAATCGAATTTTCTATGTCATTTCTTGAAACTTGCCGAGAAATTTGAAATTTTTACAGGTTAAAAGGGAATAAATATTATTTTTTTAAGATGCTAAAACGATTAAAATTGCAAATACCGCGCTGGACTGGAAAAATTGATCTACTAGAAATTTATTCCTTAAAATCTACGATCTATAAAACCTTTACGACCGTATCGTCGGAATGTGCTAAATAAAATTGCATCAATAAAATAAAATCTAATTACGGAATAAATAGCGAGGAAAAGAGAAATTTAAATGTCTGTACAGATAACGAGACAAAGGTTATATATAAAATGTCTGGTTTGGATTCGAACCTTAAACTATTGTCGTAGAATCTTTAGGAAACATCAAATATAATTTATGCTACTATCATCTTGTAAAATGATATTTTGAAGCACGTTTCTTCCTCTTTTACCGGAAGAACATTTTCCTACGAATCCGATTCTCTTTATACGTTTCAGAAGGAATAATTCTCTTCTTTGATTGATAACAAATGGCAGATGCGGGAGACTTTTATCGGCCCACCAGGCAACGGAATCCTTCTAACAGACCAACACCACCTGAAAGAGAGAAAGTGAAAAGAAGAGGAATTTATCAGCGTTTCTCTTTACATATTCACATTAGCTTCAATCCTAATGTAAAGCCATCCTTTTTGACAGCCCGCTGGATGCTATAACGGCTCGTTCTCATCCCTAATTACCCTAACGTTTCAAACCTTACACATTGCAGTCCACTTTTATATTCGCAGCACATCTCCTTATGGCTCCATTTGGGCTGTTGTTTCCGCGATAGCTTATTTGTCATCTTTTTCTCTCTTTCACCCCCCTTCTAACATCTCCATACGCGAAATGGAAGGGACGAGTCACATAAAAACACAGTTCATCTCTATCTGAGGGTTTTGGACGTTGCGGAAAGATGAGGTCACCATATATCACGCTTTTTTTGTGTTTGTTGTCTCGGATACCACAACGTACTGTCCGTATTCAAATTTATGCTCACTCCGGTAGCTGTAGGTGTCTTGACAAGATGAAATACAGTTATGAGAGCTTTCATTTCGCTTGATGAGATAACGTTAGTGTAGCAAAGTCTGCGTCTATTGCTCCCTAGAGACACTTCTCCTATTCTCGTCCCCTCCGCTCGACCTGGCAGAAAAATCATTACTGAGACAGCTTCCCTGCAACTGTAATTAAAGACTCTCACCGAAGGGAGAAATGCGCTGGTTAGCTACAGGTTATGCTGATCTGTGATTCTATTGTGGGCCTTAATGATTATTAAGTGGACTCAACTTATTCTTATGTTTTCTTCTTTTAATTTAATTGTCATTTTTTAAATTAAGTTAATAGATTTTTTTCTGAAACGTCATTTCACGATTCAAAATAAAATAAAAAAAGAGCAAATCAAATGTAATTAAAACTATTTCCAGACATAAGTAATATGAGATACGCTTCACGTTTAGTTTATTGTTAAGAATATGCAATTATAAAGTCCTAATTAGAATTTTTAAATTATTTATTGTATGTTATTGGAGGAAAAAAAAATTGAATAGGATGTAAAAATTAATTTAGAATATTTCCTTAGTTTAATTAAGTGTTTATATTTAGATAACCAGACAATATGTAATCATTTATACGAATCTTGAAGCAGAATTCGAATAAAAAGTAACTATTTTTCAAGCGAAATATTAGCGCATTTTTTGAATTTAATTGAGTAAATAACTCTAGAATAATATGCAAATATCGGAACGGAATAACTCGAGTTTCAACTAAGCAATATTTTAAGGGAGAATGATTTTTTTTCCTCTAGAGACCACCCACGCTTTTTCGAGGGAGCAACTCTTCCCGTAATAGTATCTATAACGATTCACTGAGGATGAAATAAGATTTAAAGGGGGGAATAAAATAAAATAAAATAAAATATGACCGTACGATAATAATTAATTATTTTTTATATCCCCGAAAATTAACGGTGATCCAAACCGAAAGAAAAATAAAATAAACTATTAGATTAATGATTTAATGTGTAGCATCTCTCTCTCTCTCTCTCTCTCTTTCTCTCTCTCTTACTACCGCAGTAACGAGTTATTTGTGTGTGCGTGTTCGATGCAATAAAATTGATTCGCCATGTTAGCATTGCTTTTAATTTATTACTCTACTTTTTATTGTGCGGTCACATTGATCAATGTATATTGGCCACAATATTCTGTTTGGTTGATCTAAAATGTTGGCCATTTTTTATGAATTTTCTATGTTTGTTCTGCCGACGTTTTACTCCGGCAGATTATATCATTGATATTTTCGGTTTTATATTCGTTTAAATTTATTTATATCGATGTAATGTATAATATTTAATCATATTTTTCTTACTTCATAAAATTTTAATTATTTTTAAACAATTTTTCGACTTTTCTACCGAGATTCTATGAAATTAAGAATGGAAAATACACCGTTTTAAAACAATAATCTGGCAAAATACCGGGCTAAAATTATACTTTATTTATAATAAATTGCTGGTGAAAAGTTAAAAATCAGTCATTTATACCATTAACGAATACAATAATACTCATTACTATTGTTTTCAATGATAAAAACTAAGCATTATAAGTAATTTCTTCCATTATTATGCATAGATTAATAAAGAAAATTAGTTTAAAAATAGTCGGTTCTTCTGTTATAAACAAAAAAAAAAAAAACACCAAATCTTCAGGTCTTTAACCACAATGCGGTCACGATTAAAGTAGCCTAAAGCTCCAAATTATATCTTTAATAATAATTCACATACAGTATTGGGTTCGAGAAGAGCCGAGGGGCGAGAATTTAAAGATGTAGGGCCTCTTGTAAGTTATCCCAACCAGAAAATGTTTAAGTATAATTAGACTAGGCGTCGTTTTGTAAATCGAATGCGGGAAAAGATATTCTCCAGCGTGAGTTATTATCCCGCGCTTATCTTTCATCCTACATTTCCATTATCTTCTATATGTTACACGGCCTTAGTTATTGTTACTCCTTTGAATTAGGTGGATCGCGGCGTTATGTAGGAGGTACCCCGGAGCGGAGTCTCCAGGGCCCCATCGGCCACTCGCTCCGAGTGAGTTGTTGTATCTGATGGACGGATCGTTTATCCTCCTCCCAGAAATGAGTTGTTTCCATTCCCAGAGTGCATCACGTGACCAATGTAATTAACACCTTTTGCCAGAGTCGCGCTGACACAATCAATGGACGATTTACATGTTCCCCAATAGTAAAAAAAAGCATAAGAAAAAGGGGGGAAAAGAGAGAGATATTCGCTAGAATTGATGTTATTTCCCAATTTGCGGAGGATGTGATTAATTTTTTTGTAAATTACAAAAATAAAAAATTTAAATTAATTTTTTTTCCTCTCTGGGAATGTTTATATAATAATAAAATACTTTTTCTTTGGTAACGAAGATACAATTACAGTTACACGCTGCTCTTAATAGCAGAGTTTTTGAATAAGAGCGACGATTGTATCTCCTCCTTTTGTGTTTGTGTTTTTATTATTATTATTTTTTTTTTTACTTATGTTACTGTATCTAGAGGAGAGGGAGCATTAACTTTTAGTTAACACAATATTGGCTATTATATAAAATATCGATCGGCGTGTAAATAAATGAATAATGTGAAATGAAAATATTATTATAAAAGCAAGAATAGATGGTAGATATTATACGAAATCAGCTTAATTACCGCTTGAAAATCACTGTTTATGAATCCCTTCGTCTTTATCCTGATGACCAAGATTACATCCTCTGAGATTAGATAAAAGAGATTTCGACTCCTCCCCATATTCGATCCTATATTACTGAAACTCGAATTAGCTAAACTCGAGCAAACTTCAATTATGAAAACGAGAAATAATGTTCTAATTTTCGAACTAACAAGAGTAATTTCCTCAATACCAACCTTTACATTAATAAGCAGATCTTCGTCTTCTTCTAATCCGATCATCTTCATATATATATATATTTATATTTAACTATCGAGAAAGAACCGATCCATTATAAAGAATGACAGCATCAAATAAATAATCTCAATAACAAGATGGCATTTGAAGATTAGATGGTAGATAAATAATAAACCTCATTTGAAGTAATTTCAAATTAGTTAATAAGTAAAAGAAAAGTATGAGAGGAATTCGTTTAGTAAA